CAGATAATCTGTGAAACAGATCTGCTTCAGCTTGCTGTTTATCTGTTAGTTTCTATGGAGGCTGTGAGGTGTTGCCATTTTTGGACGCCATTTCTGCTCCTCCATGTAGTCACAGACACTACCAGTGGACGGTGTGGGCGGGGCTTAGTCTAGTGATCTGTATATTTAAGTCTATGGTCCTGACGCACATCTGCATCGTCTTCAGGGGAAGGAGCCGTCGGTGCGACAGCTGGCTCTTCTTCACTTTAGGAACATCATCACCCTCAACCTGAAACTGGACGAGGCGCTGTCCCGACCCCGAGCCCGAGTCCCCCCCTCCATCATACAGATGCTGATGATATTACAGGTACATTTTTACCCTTTTATCCCCGATGCTTCATAGAATAATAATAATAAAAACAAACATGTTCTTCCCCTGACCACTCAATCCCCCCCTGTACTCGTTTATAAATATATTAGWATCAAACTAAACTCTTTAATTTGTTACAGTACACCTAAACCACATGTGTTGGAGGTTAGTTTGCACGTCACATTTCATGTTTCCACCGTGTGATTTTTTGTGAAGATAACAGTAACTTTTCATAAAGATAACARTAACTTGCCTTCGACTGGCACTTGCTTGTGGTTTAGCAGTGTGGTTGTGCACTTAGTGAGGTGCTGTAGTTCCTCAGCCGCTAATTCAGTCAAGATTTTATTTCRTCTTTTTTTTCCAGTTATGTAAGCTAACATCACATATGAAAGAATTCAGATGCATTGCAATGAAAATGAGTTTTTTTTTTCAGTTGGATCCTTTTTTTATGTTCTTGTACAAAATGGACAAACAATATCTTACCTGTTCCAGATGCCCCTTTAAAATGGCCTCAATATGGAAAATAAAGTTAAATTCTGAAAGCCCTGAGTGGAGCAAAGACCCAAGTCAAGGTTTACAGTTTAAACCTTCAGAGAGTTTCATGTTACGTTGACATTTATTTAGCAATTTAGTCATTAAAGCAAAAATTCTGTGATATTTTTTTGCAGGATAAGTTGCACAGGACATGCTACATCTAGCTGCTGCAGCTATCTGTGTTTACAAATGACCTCATCATACTCTATAAATAACTGWGCATTGTGAAACTAAGAAAAATGTAAAAAGGTTATAAATATTTATAAGGTCTGTAATTAATTTTCAAGATTTGAGTTTTAAGGTGCTAGCAGTCCATATCACAAAAGTCTTTTTTTTAAGATTATTTTAAAGACCAGAAAACAAAAATCAAACACTAAACATGGCGCTTTCTGAACTGTTCATCTATCAGGAAGGATAAGTTTATTTAGTTATGAATGAGTGAGTTTTAAATGTGTGTTCTGCGTTTCTTTTCATCTAATCTGTGAGGGTTTCGGTTTCTTTTAGTTTGTAGTGAATCATTGACCCAAATCTGCTCCTTCCAGACTCAGCCACCGAGGCCCAATGCAGACAGAGAGCTGCTTAAAAAGACACAGTATTTTTTTATTTTATTTATTTCATTTTATTAAAAAACAAAACGTTCAGTTAAAAAAAACAATTTTCAACACAACACAAGATCATTTAATGAAAGGGAGCAGAAAGAAGAAAAAAAATCTTATAACGTCTGCCCCATAATAATAAAAAAGATTAAAACTACTCAACCAGCAGCTTGTATAAATGCCTGTTATGTATTTTCATATTTCTTCAACAAATCCAATTTTACCAATCTTCCAAATAACTTAATCGAATCAACATTTTTATAATTGTTAGCCAAGTTGCTCAATAACTTTATTCTTTGAATTGAGGTACATCTCTCTTACAAGTTAGTTCGAATTTTGGGTTTCACAAACATTTAAAATCCTTTAAGATTATAAATACTTTCCCTCTTAATGAAATTTGATTGAATGTTCAAAGGTAATGCGTTTTTATGAGCTCTATACATAATTAGCAGAATCTTATAATCAACCAATTCATGAAACGTCAACAAATTCAACTGACAAAATAATATATTTGATGGGTGACTACACTATTTCCTGGCTATAATTCTTTTGGCTCTTTTTTTGCAAAATAAAAATAGACTTTGTAAATGTTTTACATGCTTATCCCCAGACTTCAACACAGTAAATCAAATGTGGAACAATTATTGCATTATATAACATAAATAGTGCTTTATCATTAAACAATTTCTTTACCTTATATCGTACTGCAATGGATTTGACTGTTTTTGCTCTTAAGTAATTTAAATGAGACTTCCAAGTCAAATTTTCATCAATGCTGACACCCAAGAACTTAACCTCACTGACTCTACTAATTTCCACACCCTCGACTCTAAATGAAAGATTGACTGTTCTTTTTCTATTACTGAATATCATATTATTAGTTTTGTCTAATTTTAATAATTTATTAAGCTTAAACCAATTTTGTATTTTTACAAATTCTGCTTGCATCATTTCCATCAATCACTCTAAATCTATACCCAAACAAAAAAAATGTGGTATTTATACTTACTTTATTTGATTAAAAAATAAATCCTTGTTAAGAGGAGGATGAAGAGGAAACTAGAAAGCAGAGCAGCTAAAATACATAAACTCTACACTGAATTAAAGCTTTCTTTTTTTTTCTGCTCCTTGTTTACATCTGCCGGCAATTTCCTTTTATTCTGTTACAGGAGCGTGACGTTAGTTCCCTGCAGTCTGTTTTCTTCATGTGGTTCAGTTCTGTGCTGTGGTCTGCACGCAGAGGCTCCAAATCCTGAAAACTGATTAATCTTCAACGAGCTGAAGTTTGCTTCATGTATATCCACACTTTTTAGTTAGAAACAGTGCAGAGATTTGCGATGAAATTGTTGCGAAGATGTCGCTTTGTTAGCAGTGTCTGGTTGTTTTGATCTCAGGTTTCTGCTACTGTTATGTAGCTCTTCAGCGCTCTGAAACCATGATAAACACGATRCACTTCAGTTAGACATTTGCTGAGTCAGCCGTTTGGCAGAGGTCCACCTAGCGGTGTGTCGAGCCCGACTACAGCCAGAGATTATATAATAAGATCTGCTGATAACATGGAGTTAAAACTGTTAACTAGTGATAACAAGCTCGCAGTTTATTAGCATTTTTCCTCAGCTTCAACCTTTCTGTTCCGTCTCTGTTGGACATTAGAGCTGTTATTTAACGTCCACATGTGAGAGCACGAGCTGCCAGAACGTGACGTCACATTTATTGTTTCTGCTATAAAACAGATGAGAGGAGAAGATAAGAGAGTTTTTGGGTTCAGAGGTGGTTTCCAGCTGGTGCAGCTGCAGGAGAGCAGCCTAAATGCACCCAGCTTTCTGCTTCACATTAGTGTCACATGTTGAACTTCTGCAGCACAGATGAGTGACATGACTTATAACCAGCATGCATTGCACCACGGCCATCATCAGCTAGGGCTGCGCAATATATTGAAAAYTTATCATCGCAATAACAGCCTGTGCTTAAATCTAAATTTAAATGTAATAGGCTCTGATTGCACAACTTCAGAGCCGACATGCTAACAAGTGGCATCCATGTTTAGGTTTTTTGTGTTGAAACTTTATTTCTGATAATATTTGCAATATTTAATAAGTTGCTATGATTTGTAAACCTGATAAAGAAACGTTTATGAACAATAAAACATCGTAGGTGTCAATTTTTTATTATAAAATRTTTAGACTATGTCATTTTTAATTATGTTTATATTTTCAATTTTATGAGAATTTTTTTCTTTAGTGAGGCAGGAAAATGTGGGAAACCAGTCACTTTCACAACCAAAGTATTGATTTAACTTATAATGCTTATAAAGGTGACCCCTACACTTTTAACAATCTTGGCATAATCTTCTATAAAATCAATTTGCTTAAATGAACACTTGATTTTYCCTTGATTTCTGGGATTTTCTTAATCAGATTGTTTAATTTCTTGGATTAAAGTGGAATTTCCTCCTTGATGAATGAATGATCAAAAAAATTGGGACACAAAAGTAAGATTTATATACAATTTATTTAGAAATCTAACCATGATCAGTTGTTTGCATTGAGAACCTGCCCCTCCCAAGATGGCGTCGCACTCGTTCCACAGCATCTAAAGTTGGCGTGTCGTCTATATTCTATAACTTCACTGTTCACACATTTTTTCAGTTTTAAGCACAGTTTAAGATGCTTGTCAAAGGTTTTCACTAATGTTTTTTCCAAGACTTCCTGCCAACAAACAGCATTCAGCAGCTAACACAACTTCCTGTTTGTGTGTCGTTGATCCAGGGAGTCCATGAATCCAAAGGTTTAACAGAAAACTACCTTCGTCTGGAGGCTCTCATCCAGAAGGTGGTTTCTCCGTACCTCGGAACTCACGGTTTATACTCCAGAGACGAGTCCTCCAATCAGCACTGCTCGTCCTGCCTGCTCGGTCTGTATGTTTGAGCGCACAGAATGTCTAATAAAGTTTTTTTTAACTAAATGTCAGGACACCCTCTCACTCACTGTAGAAAAGCATCTGTGGACCTCCTGGACCCCCAAAGCCGGAAGCGGCCTTCCTGTCAAGAACCCCGTGGTGCGTTCTAAGAGCTACAACATTCCCATGCTGACGCCCGTGGTGGAGCTCGACGCGGACTCGTCCGCAGGAAGTGCAGCCAGCGTCAGGCGCCACTCGGTGTGCGAGATGCCGTCGTGTTTGGAGGAGAGCAGCCCGAAGGTCCGATCTGCCTCCAGGATGAAGAGCAGCAGCCGCACATCCAGCCTCGCCAGCTCCTCCCCGACGTCCACAGGTTCTCCTGCTCTAACAGGTGTAACGAAGTCAGACTGACCAAAACCATGTTTTCCTTCATGTGGTCACATTTTAGGATGATGAGGTTTTAATAATCGCTGGTGTTTTCTGTGCAGACAACCAGGACCAGCAGCCTTCACCCTGCATCCTCCCCGAGTCCTCCCCGTGCGAAGATGCTCTGTGCGCTGGCTCGCCGGAGTCCCCCTCCCCGCCGTCGTCCCCATCCCCGATGTCCCCGACATCCCCGTCGTCCCCGTCCCCATTGTCCCCCAGAGTTCTGGTCCAAGACACGAGCTCCAGTTCCAGCCCGGGGTCCAGCTTCGAGATCATGACGATAGACTACAACGTGGAGTCGGAGCAGGACCAGGACGGCATCTTCCTGGACTTCTCCTACCGCTGCTCCGGAGCCTCCAAACACAGCAGGGACAGCAAGAGGCAGAGCGTGGCCTGACACACACACACACAC